AGCATCTGTCCCGGCTGGGCCGCCACGGCACGGTCAGCGGCGCCAGCATCAAGACGAACAGCCTCGGATTCTACGACGCTGCCGCCACAGTGCTGGACGCGCTGCGGCCGCTGGGGCCGCTGGGGCCCAGCCCCAGAGGGTCCAAGGTCTCCGAAAGGGAGGTCTCGATCTCCAGGGCGCACGCGGACCCCCCCCCCTCGCGGCGGACGGGGGGCCACCACCGGGCCCGAGGGCTTTTTGGTAAAACGGCACCGCATGGGGTCTGGGCAGAAAGAGCTTTCCCAACCAGGAATGGAGGCTCTGACTTCCAGCACGGGCGCTCCAGCACTGGCGCTCCAGCCTCCAGAACGGGGTAGGCTGCAAGCTCCATGGTGAGGTTTGGGCCCCTCCGCTCTTTAGGAGATGGAGGAGGTAAAGTTAGGTCCCCCTTCGGGGCGCCAAGATAATCGCGACTCGCGCGCCGCGGCCTCCGCTGGAGAGCTGCCCTTCTCCAGGAGAGCCTCGCGAGGCAGCGACCGAGCGCATCGCGGGGCGCGATGCGCGGGGTGACTTCTCTGGGGGAGGCGACGCCTCTCCTGGAGACCTCAGCCCCCAGGGGAGAGGTCCCAGCACCCGGCACCTTTGTGGGCCCCGGAACGGCAGGGCCGTTTTTTCACCGATTCCAAAAAAAAACGTCCCTTGAAAATGGAAACGGCAAAAAAAACGGCGACCGGAAACGACAAAAAAAAACGGCTCCAGGACTGGAACCGGAGCCAGAACCGGTCAAACAACGGCGACGGAACCGGTAAAAAAACGGCGTCGGAACCGGTACAAAAACGGCAAAACGTAACCGGTAAAAAAGCGGCCCTGTCGCTTCCAGGGCCCACTAAGCCCGGCACTGAGACCTCCAGGTCTGCGGAGTTTGCCCAGAGCGGGGGGCGCGAAGCGCGAGGTGCGCGGTGGAGTGCGCCCCGCCCCCTTCGCGCCGTCCCCCCCTGGAGAAGGGCAACTTTGCGGCCAAGGCTGCGCGAAGCGCGATTATCCTCGCGCCCCCGCGGGTGGCAAAGGAGGCGCGAATGCACAGAGCCAGATCAAAGTCGATCTTCGGACCGCTTCCTGGCCCACCCTGGTCGAGAGAGGAGCTGCGTCCACGACGTGACCGCGAGGGCACCGCTGGAGGCCCAGAAGAGAGGGCAGGCGGCAAGACTGGCAAGTCGTCGATCATCGACCCCTCCAGTTTGGAGTGGCATTGGATCCTCTGGGCCCGTCTTCCTGAGACCTCTATGTTTTTACGTGATGTATGTCCTCTGCAATGGCTTGCTTGGCTTCTTGCAAAGAGCGCCCGCATCTTGAGTGTCGAGGCCACATGGTCCGCAATCGGAGGAGGGGCGGGAGGAGGAGGAGGAGGAGGAGGAGGCGGAGGCGGAGCAGGAGGAGGAGGAGGAGGAGGAGGCGGAGGAGGGGGGGGAGGAGGGGGGGAGGAGGAGGCGGAGGAGGAGGAGGCGGAGGAGGAGGAGGAGGACGCCGATATTCCGTCCTGGACCAGACCAGCCAGCGCCTCACCTGACCGGCCGCGCCCCCAAGACGAGGCGTGCGCCCGTGGCGCCCGCCCTCGGCTCGCGTCTTGCGGAGCGCCGCCGAACTTTTTATCCTGCCTCTCGCTTCGCGGGGTGTACGCCCAGCATGCGCAACTTGTCAACCGAGCGACCGCATGTTGCGGCAGGAGAAGGGGGAGCCAACGGAGAAGGACGAGGAGGTGGAAGCCTTTGACCTCGTGGACTGTCAGGGGTTTGTCTCTCAGGCCCCTCTGTGCCTTGCTGGCCAGCTCCTATAGTTGTAGGTCGGGGAGTTCTGCCCTGCAGAACTCGGCTTCACATGTCACAGAGGCCACAAGAGGCTTTTGGGAGGTCCCTTGTGGTCTGCTGCGAGGCTTCTTGGAGGCGTATTGTTGGAAGCGTCTTGGAGGTTCCCACAGAGGGTTCCCCTTCCTAGGGGCAGCTTTTCCTCCTGGGTCTACGGTTGATAGCCCCGGGCCCGATGACGGGCCCCAGGGGCCTGAGTCGAGAAGAAGCGCCCAGATCTACACAATCAGATCGTCGGAGATCTGGGCCCTCGTCCTGCCCCCCCTCCTCCTTCGCAGCCGCTTCGGCTCTGGCGGCCCGTGCCCCTACCTCCCCTCCCCCCCCTGCCCCCCCCCTCCCCCCCCCCTGCCCCCCCAGGGCGTCACCCCTCCCCCCTCCACAATTACTCAATATGAAAATACTCTCCCTCTTCCCCTGATGGCGTCCGGGTGATGGCCGCGCACCCTCCGCGTACTGTGTTTTTACACACAGGATGCCCGGGAAATCCCGGGAATCGACTCTCGCTGAGGCGCCGGCGTCATTTTTTCCCAAAATGTTGCTCTCGTTGAGGCGCCGGCCTCATTTCTGCTCCCGAATCGTTCCGAATCGTGCTCCCGCTGCAGCGTGGGCCTCATTTTCGGATCGGTGTTTGGCCTCCGTCGTTCAGGATGGCGTTCTCGCCCCAGCGCGGGCCTTTTTCTCGCGCGCCCATCCGCCCGCCACCACCGCGCCGCACCACCACCACCACCACCACCACCACCACCACCACCACCACCACCACCACCAGCACCACACCAGTACCAACACCAACACACACCACCACCACCAGCACCAGCACCCAGCACCACCACCACCACCACCACCACCACCACCACCACCACCACCACCACCACCACCACCACCACCACGACAACCACGCACACACGCACGCACGCACGCACGTGCACCACCACCCACTACGCACGCGCGCGCGGAGCCACAGGTCCGCTACGACACGCGTCCGCGGATAGAGAAAATCAGCGCCATGGTAAGGGATGGGAGGGAGGGGTAGGACGCCAGATATGACGCGAGCGCACCTAGCTTGCCCCCTGCCCCTCCCTCCCCCCGCTCCCCCCCTCCTCCCCCCCCCCCCCTTGCCCCCCCCCCCCCCCCGCCACCCCCAGGGCGTCACCCCTCCGCGGGCGGCGCCCGAGCGATGGCATCCGCCGGCGCAGCCGCCCCGCCCGCCGGCGGCGGCGGGTGGCACCCGCTGGCGCACATCAGGAAGGCCCCGACCCTTCAAGGTTCGAGCCTCGAGGTGCGAGCTCCGTGGTGGCGCAAGGGCGGCCAGGGGCGGCCGACAGAGGCTTGGGCGCCCGCTGGCCTCAGTCAGGGGCTGCGGCTCGCAGGCTTGGGCGGGGTCCGGTGAGACGCACATGCCTGTAGGATCCGATGGCACTCTCTGGCTTCCCCTCCTGGGCTCGCAGGGGCGGCGCTGGGGGCGCCGCCAGGGGGGCCAGCGCCGATCCAAGAGATCCGCGCCTCGAGGATCTACAGGCTCAAGGTTTTCTGGCCTTCGGGGGCCCCCTTCGTCGCCACAGCTGGACGCAGCTCGTAAAACTTCTGATTCTAGATCCTGGCATGTGTCCGGGGACCCATGTTGAGCGGATTTTGAAACCTCCTCGCGTCGTGAACACGGGCTCCGTGGGCGACAGGGGCATTCGGGAGGCCCGTCCCCATGTTCGGGCTCCCGGGCTCTTCGGGGCGCCGCCAAAAAACGACTCGGGACGAGAAGAACGTCCCAGGGAAAACCCCTGCCAGACAGCACTTGGCACTCTAGCACGCCGCAACGTGCCAGGGGGCACGTTGGCGGAGTAGCAGCAGAAGGCGGACCAGGAGGAGGACGATGACGAGGAGGAGGAGGAGGAGGAGGAGGAGGAGGAGGAGGAGGAGCAAGAGGAAGAGGAGGCGGAGGATGAGGAGGAGAGGGAG